GATTTTCTATACAAATGCAAATACAGTATGTGTTTATTCCTACAACTTGCTTTTTAAAAATTGACAATAAATTATGCACATTTTCTGCATAAATTCATTTTAGAGTTTGATTTTGTATTCAGGCAGATGTAATATTATTCTAAGGATATATAACATTAACTTCATTTTTTTTTTTTTTTGCAGTGCTGGAGATCAAACCCCGGACCTCTAACATGCAAGGCAAGCACTCTACCACTGAGCTATACTCCCAACACTACCTAATGTCTGACATTTTATATTAAAAAGTCTAATTTGTTATATATGACAGCAGAATGCATTACAATTCATATTCACATATAGAGCACAATTTTTCATATCTCTGGTTGTGTATGAAGTATATTCACACCATTCATGTCTTCATTCATACATGTACTTAGGGTAATGATTTCCATCTTAATCTACTGTCTTTCCTACCCCTCTGCCCACTCCCTTCCCCTCCCACCCCTCTGCCCTATCTAGAATTCCTCTATTTCTCTCATGCTCCCCCTCCCTACCCAACTATGATTCAGTCTCCTTATATCAGAGAAAACATTTGGCATTTGTTTTTGGGGGGATTGGCTAACTTCACTTAGCATTATCTTCTCCAACTCCATCCATTCACCTGCAAATGCCATGATTTTATTCTCTTTTATTGCTGTGTATATATACCACAATTTTTATTTAATCATCATCTACTGAAGGGCATCTAGATTGCTCCCACAGTTTAACTATTGTGAATTGTGCTGCTATAAACATTGATGTGGCTGTGTATTACTATAGTATGCTCTTTTTAAGTCCTTTTGGTATAAACTGAAGAGTGGGATACCTGGGTCAGATGGTGGTTCCATTCCAAGTTTCCCAAGGAATAGCCATACTGTTTTCCATGTTAGTTGCACCGATTTTGCAGTCCCACCAGCAATGTATGAGTGTGCCTTTTACCCCATACCCTCACCAAGACTTATTGTTGTTTGTATTCTTGATAGCTGCCGTTCTGACTGGAGTGAGATGAAATCTTAGAGTAGTTTTGATTTGCATTTCTCTAATTGCTAGAGATGATGGACATTTTTTTTTGTGTATTTGTTAAATGATTGTATATCATTCTGAGAAGTGTCAGTCTTCTGAGAAGCGTCTTTTCAGGTCCTTGGTCTATTTATTGATTGGGTTATTTGTTTTTAAGTGGTGTTAAGATTTTTGAATTCTTTATATATCCTAGAGATTAGTGCTCTATCTGATGTGCGTGTGGTAAAAATTTGCTCCCATTCTGTATTCACCTCATTGATTATTGCTTTTGCTGAGAAGAAGCTTTTCAGTTTGAATTCATCCCATTTATTGATTCTTGATTTTACTTCTTGTGTTATAGGAGTCCTATTAAGGAAGTTGGAACCTAATCTGACTTGATGAAGATTTGGGCCTACTTTTTCTTCTGTTAGGCACAGGGTGTCTGGTTTAATTCCTAGGTCCTTGATTCACTTTGAGGTGAGTTTTGTGCATGGTGAGAGACAGGGGCTTAATTTCATTTTGTTGCATATAGATTTCCAGTTTCCCCAGCACCATTTGTTGAAGAGGCTATCTTTTCTCCAATGTATGTTTTTGGCATCTTTGTCTAATATAACAAAATTGTAATTTTGTGGGTTAGACTACTCTGTGTCCTCTATTCTGTACCATTGGTCTACCAGTCTGTTTTGGTGCCAATACCTTGCTGTTTTTGTTACTATTGCTCTGTAGTATAGTTTCAGGTCTGGTATAGTGATGTTACCTGCTTCACTCTTCCTGCTGAGGATTGCTTTAGCTATTCTGGGTCTCTTTATTTTTCCAGATAAATTTCATGATTTTTTTCTATTTCTATAAGGAATGTCATTGGGATTTTGATTGGAATTGCATTAAATCTGTATAGTGCTTTTGGAAGTATGGTCATTTTGATAATATTAATTCTGCCTATCAAAAGCAAGGTAGATCTTTCCATCTTCTAAGGTCTTCTTTGATTCCTTCCTTTAGGGTTCTGTAGTTTTCATTGTATAGATCTTTTACCTCTTTTGTTAGGTTGATTCCCAAGTATTTTTTTAGGCTATTATAAATGGGGTAGTTTTCCTCATTTCCCTTTCAGAGAATTTAATGCCTTTGACTTATGGTTGTTGATTTTATATCCTGCTACTTTGCTGAATTCATTTACTACTTCTAGAAGTTTTCTGGTAGAACTTTTAGGGTCTTCTAGGTATAGAATCATATCATCAGCAAATAGTGCTAATTTGAGTTCTTCTTTTCCTATTGTATTCCTTTAATTTCTTTCGTCTAGTTGCTCTGCCCAGTGTTTCAAGAACTATGTTAAATAGAAGTGGTAAAAGAGGGCATCCCTGTCTTGTTGCAGTTTTTAGAGGAAATGCTTTCAATTTTTCTTCATTTAGAATGATGTTGGCCTGGGGCTTAGCATAGATAACTTTTACAATGTTGAGATATGTTCCCATTATCCCTAATTTTTCTAATGTTTTGAACATGAAGCGGTGCTGTATTTTGTTGAATGCTTTTTCTGCAGCTATTGAGATGATAATATGGTTCTTATCTTTAAGTCTATTGATGTGATGAATTACACTTATTTGTTTCCATATGTTGAACCAACCTTGCATCCCTGGGATGAACCCTACTTGATCATGGTGCACTATCTATCTTCTGGATATGTTTTTGTATTTGATTTGCCAGAATGGAGAGGGAGAGGAAAAAAATCTTGAAGAAAGAAATAGGGATTGTTTTGGTTGGAGATCAGTATCTTTCCTGCTTCTCTTCTCATCCAATAGATGGGGTTGTCTGTTGTTAGCTGGTGTCTCCACCCTCAGGATGATGAAGGTAACCAGGGTGTCACTATGCCGGGGTAGTGGCTACTGGGGAGAGGGAGAAGATAGAAACTGGGTACCTGACCAGCTGGAGTTCCAAACTGGGAGTTGCCCCCATTGAAGATGGCGATGAAGGTGACCCAAGATGGAGGTGCCTGCTTTCAGCGATGGCATGTTGGGTTGAGTAGGGGAACTGGGCTATGGCGTTGGATGATGAGTTCTGATATGTGAGATGTGAGAGATGATGAGCTCTGTGGCGTGCAGTGTGTGGCTGTCAGCTGACTTCAGAGCTTGTATAAAGTTCTGGCATGCAGGCAGGCTAATGTGCGTTAGGGGACTATCTCTGCTGCCACAGAGTCCCAAGATGGAGGGGACTTGGGGAGTCCCTAGCTGGAGGTCCACAAGGAAGTGGCGGCTGGAGTTCCTGTGAGTGGGAAGCTGCCTAGGTGTTCTGCGTGGGAGCAGCGTCCATGACTTCTGCTCAGGTGGTTGCCGAAAGTTCTGCATGGGTGTGTTGTCCATAGTCCTACTCAGGGCGAGTAGTTGGGAGACCTACTGAGGCCTGGAGCCCTGGACGGGGCAGGCTGACTGTGATTTCTGTGGGGGAGCAGGAACATCCCTCGCAGAGAAACAGTATTCTCACTACTTGAGTCCCAGGTCACAGAGTGACACAGAGTGCTGCCTCCCTTTGGCCCCCAATCTTGGATCCTCTGGCTCACTTGTTTTGAGTTTTAAAATACTATCTTTTTTTAAAAAAAAATATTTATTTTTTAGTTATAGGTAGACACAATATCTTTATTTTTTGGTGCTGGGGATCGAACCCAGGGTCTTGTGCATGCAAGGAAAGCACTCTACCAACTGAGCTATATCCCCAGCCCTAAAATACTATCTTGTTACCCATGTATAATAGTATTTAAAACCTTTGCCTAGTGAGACTTAAGATAAATTCTAAAGTTATTTCTAGAATATGAAAGATTTTTGGGCAATTTTAAAACCTCAAAAACACTTCCTGTTCTTTAATTTGTAGCTGAGCCCAATGTTTGAGAGTCAAAAACCTCCAGATGGCTTCAAAAGCAATGACTTAAGATGTTATCACAATAACACTACTATTTGTCTTGCATTCTTTAATATTGCTTACTCTATGTCAGGCATTGTGTGAATGCTTTACACATTCATTTACTCTTCCCTGCAAATCCCAGGTAGGTTTATTTTTCCCATCTTACAAATTATTTCTATTTACAATTGAGGCATGGGGAAGTTAATGTGTCTAAGGAGTAATAGTGAATGGTAAACCCAAGGCAGTCTGGGTTTATCAAAGATTATTTACTCCAGCCTGGAGTAAAGGACCTATGGCCAGCCAGGTAAACAGATCTTGGGTCCTCCCCTGAGAAAACCCACCCTGGTCTTTCTTCCATCCAGCTACCTATCTTCCAAAGTACCCAGTCATTGGCAATTTAGGATTCAAAATTAAGCAATGCAACTCCCATTATACAAAGGATCAATATCCAGAGTAAAGAAATATCTCTTAAAAGTTATTCAGGAGGAATTAAATTCCTAAGACTTTTAGAAGTAGTTTTATTTGTATATGGATCACTTAAAACATTCTTTCCTACATTTTTATAATCTCCTCTTTCTTCTTTAGGGTTAGGAAATGTGGGCAAGAGAGGAAAGGGCCAGAGGATTGGTTCTGAGGAGGAATACTTAAGATCTGAAGTTGTCTATCTGTGGCCAATAAAATGTCAAACTCAATTTACTTCTGGGTGTACTTGATTGGCAATAATATTCATTTGGTGGGGTATCTGTGTGATCATCCAGATACTGGATATACATTATTTCATACTGAAAATATGCTAAGGAAATTGGTTATACGTGGTGTCAACAGCATGTCTTCTGAAGCTATATTTTAGCAGTTTTCCTAAACTTATCAGTTTTCCTAGTTACTAGTTTAAGGGATAGAGTAATGCATAGAATAGCTTGCATTTATATTTTAAAGCTATGGCTTTAGTTAATTTCCTGGTGTTCAAAATGAACTAAGCCTAATGATATTATTTAATATTTCAAAAATTTTATCCAGAAACTAACAATACAGATTTGTAACAAAAGGGGGACTACTAAAAAAAAAAAAAAAAGACAAAGCATTTTATAAATACTGATAAATACTGTGTAATGCTTTAATTTACTGTGGTAGATACAAAAATCAAGAATTCATAACAGATTAGTTATAAAAAAAAGTAACAACATGAATTTTCTAGCTGTTTAAATTAACAAAATGTAACAGTAGTGGTTTTATTTTATAAATGAGGTATTATTACAATGTAAACCAAAAACAGCATAAATAAATAAGGGTAATGTGCAATTTAGTGATAAATGGTTATGACTTTCAACTGAGTAACAATAAATGACAAAAATTCTCCAGTTATTTATGAACTTCATCATTTAAAATTTGGCTTGCTTATGTATTTCTTACTTAAAATGACAAATCTATCAATATACAAGCACGTCATTAAACATGCAGACCAAGCCAACACAATTTTTCCATGAGTCATCTCTACCAAATAAAAACTTTGTTTACATTTTACTTGAAATACTTATATCTGATTTCTTATACGTAATTCTTTTGTGCTTATTAACCTACATTAAACATCTTACTTTCTAGTTCAAAGCAGGGTAAGAGAGAAGCAGTTTTATTTGCATATGGGTTAAAAACAGTATAACAAAACAAATCAAAACCAATATGCCTTTAATTTTCTTAGGCTTTTCAAGATTTTAAAGAAGAAATAACCTTTAACAGTATACTCAAATGGAAACACATAGTCACTTTTGTCTCAAAGAGAATAGTAAATGAAGTAACTACTTTTCTTCAAATAGATTTGTGGTTTGGGTTCAGTATGGTCAGAAAACAAGTTGATTAATTCCTCCACCCTTGAAGAATTCTGCTGGTTGGGTGCAGGAAGTACAGCAACAAGAACATAGCCTAAACTAAAAAAAAATTTTGGGAAAATATTATTTGCCTATGAACCATATGCTGGTACTAAATGCTGGTTTTATTATTATTGCAAATAGAGCTTCAGAATTTTCTGAAGGAAAGCTAGCAAAGAATAGAGAAGTCTTGATCTGGACATATTTGTAACATGCTAATAAAACTGCTTCATTTGCTATGAATTTAAAAAAACCATTTACTGTGACTTAAAATACAGTTTCTTTTTACATGCTACTTTATTAGAAACAAAACAGACAAACAACAAAAGGTGCTTTTGAATTTACTATGTTCGAAATCCAGTGAAAAACAAACATTTTGGCCAAAATATTGAACTTAAATTTTATACCAAGTTACATCATTTTGACACAAACGTTGCTATTGTATTCACTTTTGTCAAATACCTTATCCTATTTTTTTTCCAAAAATTAGTGTTTCATTACAATTGGTGATCAAAAAATGTAGATTGTACATCAATCAATTACAATTGGTGATCAAAAAAGGTAGACGTAGTCTTGTACATCAATCAAAATATATATAAAAACAGTTCTTTTTTTTGTGCTTGTAATTGACTTAATTCATCAATGGTTAAGTTAGATCCAATTTTTTCTAATGTCTTGATCCTTAAGAAGAAATGATCATTATACAAATATTACAGAGTATTCAGGTAACTAGTTACTGCCAATGTGCATGCAGACTAACAATACTTAAAAGAATATAACCTTGAATCCAATTAGTCTGAAAATACTCTTGTACAATCATCTTTATTGATTTGTAAAAGCTGTATACACATCTAAAACCCTGAATTTACTTTGTAAAAATAAATCTTTAGCAATAAATGACACTATCAAAATCCCATTATTTCTCAGGCTATTATGTAATTATTTACATGCTTTTCAGCAATAGTTGAAAAGAATCTTATAGGACCCAAAGCCAGTATATCAAAAAACCCTGTAAACTGCATTTGCAATTATACTGTTGTTTACCTCTATATGAAAATATGGCTACATGCTTTATGGTAAATATTATGTAGCTATTTGCTTTGCTACTGTGTGCTAGTAGCACATAATCTGCCACTGGGTTCGACTATGTCCTAAATGCATTCTTTACTACCCTTCATTTTCCCAGTGGAACACCTGTGGCAAACTACTTATGGAAAATGATAAAGTGCTAAAAAAATGAGTGACTGGACTCATATCTGTTTCTGCCATGTGGTCTTTTCCTCACTCAAGAAAATTCTGTGTTTTTAGAAAATCATGCCTTCACTTAACAGACTTCATAATTGATTACAAAAAAACCCAAAAAACCAAAAACTAAAAAAAACAATAGCTCAGTCTTTTAAAGTTGGAGCTTTTTGAAAGTGTTTTGAGACAGAAACATGAAAAGGTTAAAGGCACAATAAGAGGGAAGTGAATGCTACATATAAAATATTATATTATATTTCAAGTCTTTTAGGCTACTCGAGTCCAAAACCTTCTGAATTTGAAATTCCAATGATCAATTTCTGTTTCAGGTCTTTTTTGCTCTTGTAGGGGGGAAGGCAAAGTTGATTGAAGCAGGTGTGGGCCACAGGTAACCTAGGGAAAATAATTTTTTGACAACATTAAGTCTTAAAATGCACACAAAATGACTGCTAAAGAAATTTTTAAAATATCAGACACAATCTATTTTACTTTGTCAAGATATGACTCATGTATTCCTATACTGAACAAATATTTATTTAGAACCTAACTAGTATCATTCTGGACACTACGGCTACGTTTACAGACTAGACAATCAATATCCCTGCTCTAATGAAACTTTCATTTGAAAAGCATCTGTTTTGGAATCAGACAGATCTGAATTTGAATATTGCTTTCCCCACTTATTAGCAATGGGGACTTTCTTTGAGTTGCTTAAAGTCTTCAAATCATTGTCTTAATCAACACAATAGGGTAAATTATCCAATTAAATTGTTTAAAAGAACAGATGAGCTATCTACATAAAACACCTAGAAAGTAAAAGATAATATAATGTTAATGTATTCCAGTCCGAATCATCAAAAAGTTATGAAAACAGCACTTTGGGAACCCTAATGGATACACTTTTTAATGTTTTTTGCCTTTGATGCAAATGCAATAGGCATCCTCTGGATTCTTTGGTTAGCTCCCCTAACCCCGCTACCAGACGACATTGTTTTCTTCATTCCAGATTTCTATAGATACCTTAGATCCCTTTTTTCAGTTTTTATGGACTCATAGCATCAGAATAGCTATCAGAGAAGTCAACAAATAAAAAAATGAGAACAGAGAAAAGGAGAACATTTTTAAAGAAGTTTAAAGAAGCTGAACTTTGAGAGCTCTCCTGACTTAATAATAATTAGGACCAGTTAGCATTTACTGAATGCTTGTCTATGATAAGCATTGTGCCTAATGCTTTTACATATATTACTTCATTTAAGAGTCAAAACAACCTAAGAAGTCGTTATTAGTTTCATTTTATAGGTGAAGAAAAATATATGTGGAAGTACACAGGTTAAATATACTATTCAAAGCTATAGAGCTATGTGAAGTTCCCACTGGGAGTCCTAGCATTGTGGTATATTCATGACTAAGCTATATTAGCACATAAAATAATCACTGAAATAATAATAATAATAATGATTTTAAAAGTTTATATGTAATTGACATTATTTGTTATATTATTTATTCAGACATCTATTGTTTTATTAGTAATTATTGTTTTACTATTATTTGTATTAAAATACACTCCTCAGATTACCTTTTTAAATGGTTATTTGGCTGGGGATGTAGCTCAGTAGTAAAGCATTTGCCTATCATGTACAAGGCCCTCGGTTTGATTCCTAGCATCAAGCACAAACAAATTAAATTGATAGTATTTTTGTTAATATAAAATATTCTGAAAAATTAATTTCTGTTGAGCAAATAAATCTGAAAGCTTGGAAGGCTTCTATTGTAGTTTTCTCATTTTAGGTCTTTAATTATAAATCTAGTTCAGAAATAGTAATTATATACACATCTGTGTATAAACACTTGTTTTAAGTTTTGAAATATAATTCTGATGTTTGCTTAAATATTTGTTCAATGTATGGGCTATAGGGAGAATACAAAGGCATATAAGGCTTGGCCTCTGCCTTGAAGAGCTAAATGACTTAAGATATAAAATATAATACAGTACATAGAATTATCCCTTCAGTGTTTGAGGCACTCACTGAATGAATGATGACTTTTGGCTTACAGAGGAAGTAGACATTGAACTGGGTCTTCCAAAGAGATAGCAAGCAAATATTAAATGTGAAGAGAAAAACTTAAAGTCATGGAGGAAGGAAGGCATGGAATGTGTTTAAGAAACTAGCAAAACAGCCTGTTGATCAGAGCATTAAAAAAATGAAAATGATACATAATATGGAAGGATATAGAGCTTTGTTTGATAGGTTCTAGATTCTAGAACTTAAACTTTTGGGGAGCAATGAAGTATTACTGCCCTGGAAAACATCATGATCACAACAGTGTTAAGGAAAATGAGCTTAATAGGACAATTTAATTAGACAAGAAAGAACTTGAGCAGGTAAATTAGGAAGAAGACTATTTAAATAAGTTAGGACTGAGGTAAAAAGTTAACTAATCAGGGTGGTAGCAACGGGGAAAGCAAAGGACAGCTCTAAAATGAAAGAAAAAACTGACAGGACTTGAGGAATATTCAATGCATAGAACAGGAGGGGAAAAATGATTATACTCAGAGTTTGTATCTACTCAAATTGGCTTTAGTAATTAAAAAGTATTTGGGAAAAGTAATAAGTAGATAAGCATTAACCAATAAACAGTACTAGCAAATAATTCAAAGCCATTCTTAGTACCACTTCATTATGTAAAGAGCATGACATTAAAAAAAGACTTGTTTTAGAGGTGCCTATAGTGCTAAGTATAATAGGACCAAACCCCTATAAATAAATAAGAAACTCCAACTTAATATTTTCCCTAAAAATAAAAACTATATTTAAATACAAAGGAAGGCTAGACAATATACTACTACCAAGTAAGCTAGGTTCTAAAAGAGACTACAAAGCAATTATTTAACCTAGCAAAGTAAAAAGTTGATGGAAATTAATTACAATCAGTTAGTATTGGCATGTGTCAAAAGCTAATAGAGAACTTTCAGCTAAAGTCTTTCTCATTTCAAGGCCATGTTTACTCTGAAGATTCTTCTATGAAAATGATTTCAGATTAAGAGAATCTTCTAATTCCAAATATAATACTCTTATTAGTAATAACCTATAAATTAAAATAAAATTATAATCTGGAAATTTACCAGTTAGTAGAAGTTTCATTCTTTGAGATTTTAAAGTTCAAATCAGCCATCCCTCCTACAGGAACTCTGTCACTTCCTGTAGTAAAATGTAGCAATTTCTTTTGAAGATCAAGAGGAAATCCAAGTACAACATCCCAAAAGTATCTATAAAACACCAAAGGAAATTTACATGAAATAGCCTGACAAAAATTCATGTAGATCATAATAAAGAAATATGAAGTAAGCTATGAGAAAAAAACTTTCCTTACAATATATAATATCCCTAATGTAAAATTAAAGAATGAGTTTCTATATATGAATTAGATTTTTGAATATCATTATAAATAAGGATTTTATAAAATTACATAAATAGTCCAATAATAGATAGTACAAAACTCATTTTTGTTCCATACATAACTTACAAGTCTTATTAACACAATGCTATTTTTTCACCCAGTACTGGGGATTAAATCCAGGGCTTTGTTCATGCTAGGCAAGCACTATACCTAGGAGCACCTCCCCAGCCCAACAAGTGCTATTAAAATGCTATTTGTAAATATAGATCAAAGTCACTTTTTAAAATAAGTGGAAAATATACTTTTATTGAAAGTCATTTGCAGGGCTGGGTTGTGGCTCAGTGGTAGAGTGCTTGCCTAGTGTGTGTGAGGCCCTGGGTTTGATCCTCAGCACCACATAAAAATAAATAGAATAAAGGTATTGTGTCCAACTACAACTAAAAAATAAATATTTGAAAAAGTCATTTGCATAACTTTTTCCCAAGGGGATTTCTAAGAGATTTCATATTTAGTATTCTTATTACTTTCTACAGATGAAATAAGATAGTAAAGGATTCAGTTAACTTAACTGATTCATATTATAAGTTATACAAATAAGCAAACTATATTCTATTTGTTCTCTTTTCTACAACCCCCTACCAGAAGTATAAGGAGCTCACCTTATAGTTAAGTCTGTTTTCGCATACCCATCATACTGAGTACTTCTCTGTAGAGCATGCATGTCCAGTTCAGGACTTCCACAGACCAGAATTTCGACTTCTTCTGGACGAAGCAGCTGTCAATAATTATCAAAAATCATAATTAAAGTGATTTTTTTAAAGTGATGGTTTTAAATGAAAAAGGAACTATTTTCACTGACTCAAATCACAAAAATCATGACTTAAAATCAAATAATTTTTGTTAAAGAAAAATTGTTTCCACTTCCATTTTTCCTACTAAAGTAAGATATTTTTGCATTAAGGTTTATTATACCTTATAAAATAGTAATTAGTAGTTTGTCAGAAAAACAAGCAAATGACTTAGCATGAATCCAAATTACTCTTCTCCCAAAGCATCATGAAGCTCTTATATCTACTGATTTGCCTGCCTTCTACCAATATCCCACAAAACCATCTTAGTGCACTGAAGAGCTTGGGTATTTACAATCTGTTTTGGTGCTCACTTGTTTCACCCTTTAGGTGGTTAGTCTCTCACCTAAGAGATTAAATATCTAAAATAGAGATCATGACATGCCATTTAATTCTTATTTTAACTCTTTCCATCCCCACAACCATCAGTGTATCATAATTAAAACTTAGACTTGATAAAATATTTTTTTTCAAAGGTACTTTCAACAACAAACATGCTATATATATTGCTCAAAATCAATCAGGATTAAAGATCCCTGCTCCTGCTCCAAAGTAACTTCTACAGTCCATTTCTCAGTGCTAAGAAAAATAATTCAAATGAAAGATCTTATTTCAATCATTCATAAAATTGAAGGGAGATACAAGTGGTACAGTTGAATTTTCCCTGGGTACTGGGGTGAAGGGTATCATCTGATATTTCCAACTTGACATTCTAACCCATATTCACACAATTAAGACAAGCCAAACCAACCTGAGTCTACCATGACTCTGGCGATAAACTATTTCTTATGGGTAAGAGGCAACTCAGAGTTGCTAAATGACCCTTGAGGAAGCAGAAAACACACACATGATAATCAGAGAGAAGTTCTGGCTTTTGCCCTGGAACTAAATGTTAACTCTGCTTCTGTGCTTGGGTCCCTCAGTTGTAAGCCTTAAATTCATAAGTCTCTTCTACTTTCTTTGGGAGAGTTTTACAAGTCTTAAAACATGCAGTATAAGACAGCAAAAGAGGAGAGGAAAAAAATGAAGTGACTGGGGTTTTTGTTTGTTTTTACCTCTAGAGAATGGGAGAATTATTAAGTAGAAAAATTTCCTAATTTTAAAAGCATACTTAAGGAATTATTTGTCAATGTCATAGTATTAGAAAACCCAATTGAAAGCTTAAAGTTTTGAACTTACCATTAGGGCATTTGAAGCACACACACTATGAAATCCATAATAAAATGCAGCAAACTGCTTATAGATGGATTTGTTGATAAGGAAGTCAGTATAAAGCTGTACATATTCTGAAAAGCAATTTTACATTTGTTATGCAGTAAAAGTAAATGGTAAATACTAGTTCATTTTATTTTTAAAATATCTTACCTTTCCTATTTTGATTGGTAACTGGAATTTTATCACCTCCTGGCTTTAAATTGTAGGATTTAATTATTCCAAATTCTTCTTGAAAAACCTGATGGGAGATACCATAACAGCATGTTTATTGGTATCACTGATATAACAACAGGCTTAGATGAACAGGATTGTAAATTTTAAAAAGAATAGATATTGTCCCTTCCCTTTTGAACACATAACATACAACTAGCTGTGTGGTCATCAGCCGGATACACTTAGCAGCTATGCGGATCACTGTAATTTCCATCTCCTAACTATTGTAAGAACAGTGAAAATGAGAGTGTTTTGGTCTGACCCATCAGATTCAACTCTTAATTTCTTGTGTTGATGTTACAGGAGAGGCTTAGTTTTGAAAACTAAAAAACCTGGAGAAAGTAACTGAGTAAAGGGAACGTGTAAAACTGCCTAGCTGAGTACCTCATTCTTGGTGAATTTTCTTTAAGGACTTTCACTAACTGCTTTACCACATGTGTCTGCTTCACTGTCTCTACCAGGTTAAGATCCTTTCAGAAGGGGATTGTGATGACTAATCCTTGTTCATCTTTTCTAACAGCAAGTGTTTAGTAACAAATAGCATTTTTCATATATGAGTTAATGGCTAACAAATAGCTATATGCCTATTAGTACCTGGAATGTTGAATAAAAATCTTCTTCAACACTGCCTTCATATGATAAGAGTTCAGTTAATCCGTGGGCCAATTCCTATAAAAAGAAATCTATTATCTATCTTTTCAGATCAACTAGTATTGCCTTAAATAGTTAAATAGATCTATCATAGTTCACTTACATATGAGATAAAAGAGTAAACTATTTCAGATTTCAAAATAAGTATTTGAGATGTATTTTCCAGGATACAGAATGCTTGTTAATGATTTTTACCATCCAAAGGCTTAGGAAAACTCATTATAGGCCATGTAAGAAGAAGCTATCCAAAGAAACCATAGAAGTGTAACTGCAGGATCTATTCCTAAGCAGCAAGCGAAGCATACCTCTACTGTGGTTTCCAGCATAACTCAATGCTATATTCTGCACTGCTGCTTCTTTCAATATCTTTTTTCTTTTCATCTTGAAGATTGAACTCAGGGGCACTAAACTACATCCCCAGAACTTTTTTTTTTTTTTTAATTTGAGACAGTTTCTCACTAAATTGCTGTGAGTCTCACTAAATTGCCAAAATTGGCCTTGAACTTGTAATCTTCCTGCCTCAGCCTCCCGAGTCGCTAAGATTACAGGTGTTTGCTATCACACCTGGCTTCAATTTATATTCTTATTAAAATCTGCTAATGTCTTATGTTCACCTACTAAACATAAAATATTCAGTTCACATGTTAAGTAGTTCATACATTTTAGTTACTATGCCCTTCTCTCCCAAGGAAAAGTTCAGAAAATTGGAAGAAATATTTTCTTATATTTTGTTATAACTCAAGTTATCCATGAATAAGGACTTAAAAATAGAGTGAGGGGCTGGGGTTGTGGCTCAGTGGTAGTTCGCTTGCCTAGCATGTGTGAGGCACTGGGTTTGATTCTCAGCACCACATACAAATAAATAAAATAAAGGTCCATGAACGATTAAAAAATATTTTAAAAAATACAATGACTGACCTAATATTCCTGAAACTTTTTTAAGTTTCATGAAAAAATGAGTTTTATTTTTTAAATTATTAAAAAGATAAATAACAGAATGGTTGGAATTATTTTATATACTTTACACAATACATTGACCATACAAATCTAAGGTGATATAGATTTGGCATAACTGTCATCATTTGTCTTAATTATTAAAAAAGACTATCCCACTGTTTACATAGAAAACTGGAGCACAGAAAGGTTAAATTAAATGCAAATTCATAAAGCTAAAAAGTGGAGAGACTGGATTCAAATCACTACTTCTGTGATTTCAAAGTCTGTTCTATTCTGTAAGAGCTTAGGCACGCTGCAAAGTAATGATATGTCTCTGTAAAGAAGGGGGAAGCTATATGAAAAAAAAAAAAGATGAGTTTCCAAAAGTAGAGGGAAACAATATTCAAGAATAAAATAGCACTAGAAGGAGAAAGACTGTTTAGGTAGAAGAGACATTATTTAGCATTAAGGGACTAGATGTCAGTAATCTATACTTACAGGCATAATTTGACATAAGTCGTCAATGGCAACACTGCAGATGCCTACTGGTATATTTTGATCACTAGGAACGATGGGAGGGCTCAATAATTTCTTGTAACAGCAAGGAGGGAAACGAATATCCAAGGTGATGCTGTTATAAACAGCTAGTCCCATAAGCTATGCATACTAAATGTTAAGCATTAACATAAAATCCATGACAACAAATGAGTTTTGAATTATGCAACAGTCTACTTTTTACATACTTCTTTCAGATTCAACACTGATGTTACAATTAGTCCCACATAGTTCCTTTCCTCTCTTTCACTTATTTTCCCTTTATTTTATGTAATATAACTCCTTGATTATCAAAAGTCATGTATAAAGGAGGTATTCAATTGATAGAATGTAGAGATTTCCCTGGAAAAGCTTATTTAAGATTATGATAGACAGCAACTTCAGACATTTCTTTAAATTATTTAACATTAAAGATTTTCTAAATTTAAATAAAGATGTTGGTGGTTTTATAAGTAGCAGCAAGAGTTTATTCAAGACTCACTGCAGAATGTACTACTGATTTTAGAAATGGTTATTTAGGCTATTTTAAAATTAAATACAAAACATGTGAAGGAAAGAATAAGCATATGGATATATACACACTATTGATAAGTTAATAGGGCAAGTAGTCTTCTACAGTAAAATGTAAGAAGAATTTGTTACTTGAATTTATCAGTGTCAAAATTAAAAAAACTCAGATGTTATAAACTTTGCCTATTTGTATTTTAGCTATTAATTATGTGACAAAATAACTTACCCATTTGCTGAAAGAAGGGTCAAATTTCATAATATTTCAACTGCCAATCATTACATAAAGTTATTTTAGAAGTAATTCATTTGATAGACTCAAAAGGAAATTTAAACATAAGGCTGAGTAAATTATTGAAAACAACTTAAATACTGAAAGACTGATAATATTTTAATGTGTTACGACAGAATGAAGGCTCATAATAACATAAGAAATAGCTATTCCATTTCATAAGTAACCATATAAATACAGACTGATTAGGGTGTTGAAGGAAACAGATATTGAAAATGTATTCTAATACATTTCTACAATTATAATAATAGCAACAATGACTGCCACAATACTATAGTTATTATTAACTTAATATTACAATTATTGATTGTAATAGTTATTATAATCTATTATGGTGATGAGTTCTAAGCATATTTTCATTTAAAATTTAAATATTAGGGCTGGGGTTGTAGCCTCAGTGGTAGGATACTTGCCTAGCACATGTGTGGCACTGGATGAGATCCTCAGCACCAAATAAAAATAAATAAATAAAATAATGTCCATCTACAAACTAAAAAAAATATTTTAAAAATTTAAATATTATAATCCTGAGTGGTAGGACGAGGCAGGTGAGGAAGTGGGATTATAGCATTTACTACAGGGCACTCTCACATGCAGACACAGCATAGCATTTCATTTCACACTCAATCAACCTGCTCTGGTTGAAGCAGGGAAGGAGATGGGGTAATTTTTTTGCTGGAACCTCTGAGATGTTATACAAATAGCAGGGTCTGGAAATGCTATACTATACTGTATTGCCTCCTCTCTTGATTCCAATGTCCTTTTTGATAATAGACAATTCTAGTTTTAAAATAATGATATATTATAACTTTCCATGTAATCTTCAAAGCATTTTACAATTATTATTGTAGGTTTTATTACAATATTAATTGTAAATTCCAAGGTCTTACCATATTTAAAAATAATTTTGTAAAAGAAACACAATACCAACAGAACAAAAAAAATCTTTGGTTCTAAAATTTAAAAAACTAGATTTAAAAATTTAAAAAATTTAAAATTTAAAATTTAAAAAATAATAGAACCAAGTATTTTTTTTTTTTTTCGAATGGTCATGCCCATTACATCTGAATTTTCAGGTCTTCTCACCTTTGATAGATGATAGATCTCCTAATCACTGACAGGACCCTAACTCACTATCATCTAACATTTTTCTTATTTTTCCTATAGTATCACACTTTTGGGGGCATCAGTCTTGCTTTCTATATGTTTCTGTATATGTGTGATAAAACACATAGTAAGAGTATAATTTTAGGTTTAATTGTGTAAGTTGGAATATAGGACATGTAAACACATTTAATATGCTCTTTTGGGTAATAACTAAATAAAAACTAATCTAATGCAAAAGAAGATTAGCAAATTCATGATTGTATCTATAAAGCACTATTTTAAAAATGTAATAACTAAGTACTTTATTACAAGTATTAGAAAGCCAAAATATCACCTAAATTAAGTTGTAGTATAAGAATATAAAGTGTGACAATCACATATATCAGGAAATTTAAATTGGTCTTAGTGTAGTGAGAAGTACCAATGATTGGGGCCTCCAATGAAATTGAAACACATTCACCAAATAAGTACTGTAGGTAACAGAATAAAGCAGTCTAAGAATTGTTAAGCTTTCTTCTATATCGTGAAGCTTAACACTCTGGATGTTTAGACATGATAATATATACAAAATTTTTAATTAAGCTTACTATCTCAATGTGAGGTTTTTTTTTTTCCTGCTACCTTTTCTTTCATTTGACCTTTAAATTTCTATATTCATTCCCCAGGATTTATCCCAATGCATGCAAAAAAGACAGACACTCAAAGTTCTCAATAAGATGGCTCTTAATTCTTTTTCCTTGTAGTATCTTTAGTAATTCCCATTGTACTCACTGCTCTGTAATAAGCCCAACAAAATTCAACCTTTTTTTCTTGCCATCTTCTCAGCTTATTATAATGTCATACTCTCCCCAGTCTTTTGTAAACCAAACGTGATTGCTCCTTTTAAAATCTCTACCTTATCCGGGAGGAATATACTCATTTCTTCCTTCTCAGAACTCCTTAGCACTTAATGTACATAGCCATTTGACTCTGAGGACAGTCTACCTTGCATTGGAGGTCATCTGTTCATTTAGATGGTAATCTTCTAAGGTAAAGAATCTCTCCTTTTTACCCTATAAGTCTCTAGTGCTTGCTCATTTATTTACTCTTCCCTCCTTTCTTTCATAATTGTATTCCTTAGAATTTAAAAAGTTAATGTAGAAGGCATCTTACTTAGTCTCCCACCCTGTAGGAATGTCCTCCACAATATAACTGCTAGAGACCAGAGAATGAGATATGGATTTATAAAATTTTAAAAACACTACCAAATACTACCATATGCTTTATACATTCCTATTATATTCACTTTTTAAGGATTTCTCCCTTATGTCTCAAGATTTGGGGTTTTATAGAACTAGATTTAATTACCACAATTTCAATTTATTAAACTGAGTGATATAAGCACAAAATGAAAGAACACAAAAGTATTATAAATGGAAAATACTTTAATTTAAAAAAATGTTTTAAATTTCTGATAATTTAGATTATATATAAAATATAAATAGCCCATTTTTATTTTGAGTAAGAGTTTTAGAAAAAAATCAATAGTTAGCCGTTCTTTTCAATTAACTAAGTCTGATGCTATATAGCTGTGATATTACATGTAGTAAAGATGACAGAAAAATCTATTTATATATCTGACAAGAATGCTTAATTTACTAAAAGAACACTTTTCCAAAATAAATAAAATCTTTCAAAATCTCTTATCAATTAGCACCTCCTAGTGGAAAGTTTAAAGGATACAATTCCAACCAATCGGAATTCAGAATAGTTATCACATTTAAAGCTGCTAAACCAATGGCAGTGTGAGTCCTTGTGATATGTAAACATGCCTGAAAAAAGAAAACACAGTTATGTTCACATGATTCCTTAAAACAATCGAAGTGGTTAAAATGTACATATTACTGATTAGAAGCAAATCATTTTAGCAATTTTCTTTTACATACCATCTTTCATCTAAAAACTCTATAGATTATTTAACAGACTATATATTTGCAAATCTTGGTGTGTGTATGTGTGTGTGTGTGTGTGTGTAAATAACAATATATGGAGAGGGCATTTTACTGTTCATTGATATCTTGAATTTAGAATAGAAATGGGATAAAAAGATAAACACTAAATTAAACAGATAAATTCATAAAAACTATAGTTTCAGAATTTTAATTATAAAGTATGATCAAAGTAAAATGAGGATTATTCAGAGATTTCAATTTATCTGTCATACCTATTTCCCCACTACCAGAAATATCTTATTTATATATACCTGTATTATATAGAAAATACAGAAAACAATATATACATAATACAGAAAATATAGAAATAAAGAATAAGAAAACCACTAAAAACTCTCCTTTGAAAAAAAATACTTGACAGACATTAAGGATTATAGGTGAGAAAAAGTTTCTTCTCAGCAAAAGAAACAATATATGAGGTGAATAGAGAGCCTACATCCTGGGAGCAAATTTTTACCCCTCACACATCAGATAGAGCACTAATCTCTAAGGTATATAAAGAACTCAAAAAGCTAAGCACCAAAAACACAAAAACCCAATCAATAAATGGCCCAAGGGCCTGAACAGGCACTTCTCTGAAGAGGATATACAATCAATCAACAAATATTTGTTCTTTTCAAGACTATATATTTTATCTTCATTGTCCAATATCCTATCTTCCATGTGGTCTACTCTGTTGGTGATGCTTTCATTTGAGCTTTTAATTTGGTTTATTGTTTCTTTCATTTCAAGGATTTCTGTTTGGGTGTTTTTAGAACCTCTACCTCCCTTCTGAGGTGATCTTTAGCTTCTTGGATTTGTTTATGTAGCTCCTTGTCAAAGTGATCTTCCACTGCTTATATTTGCTCTCTTATATCTTCCTTGAGTTCAAAGAATATTTTAACCATGTATAGCCTGAATTCCTTCTCTGTAATTTTTTCTGCTATGGCTGCCAATGATTCTAAAGATGTGGTGTCTTGATTTGTTTGTGGTACTTTCTTCCCTTGTCTTCCCATGTTGCTCATGTGTTTTCCTTTCCAGCTCTGTGGGTCTGGGGTGTTATTATTTTACCCTATAGGTTTGTAGTGCTCTTGTAGGGTCCCAAGATCCTTCCTAGCCTCTTAAACAAATGGTGCTGGGAAAACTGGCAATCTATATGCAACAAAATGAAATTAAACCCCTATCTCTCACCATGCACAAAACTCAACTCAAAGTGGATCAAGGACCTAGGAATTAAACCAGAGACTCTGTATCTAATAGAAGAAAAAGTAGGCCCTAATCTTCATCATGTGGGATTAGGCCCCAACTTCCTTAATAAGACTCTTATAGCGTAAGAATTAAAACCAAGAATCAATAAATGGGATGGATTCAAACTAAAAAGTTTCTTCTCAGCAAAAGAAACAATCTGTGAGGTGAATAGAGAGCCTACATCCTGGGAGCAAATTTTTACCCCTCACACATCAGATAGAGCACTAATCTCTAGAGTATATAAAGAACTCAAAAAGCTAAGCACCAAAAAAACCAAATAACTCAATCAATAAATGGGCGAAGGACCTGAAGAGATACTTCTCCAAAGAGGATATATAATCAATCAACAAATATATGAAAAAATGTTCATCATCTCTAGCAATTAGAAAAATGCAAATCAAAACTACTCTAAGATATCATCTCACTTCAGTCAGAATGGCAGCTATTATGAAGACAAACAATAATAAGTTTTGGCGAGGATGTGGGGAAAAAGGTACACTCATACATTGCTGGTGGAACAGCAAACTGGTGCAGCCAATATGGAAAGCAGTATGGAGATTCCTTGGAAAACTGGAAATGGAACCACCATTTGGCCCAGCTATCCCTTTCTTCAGTCTACACCCAAAAGACTTAAAAACAACATATTACAGGGACATAGCCACATCAATGTTTTTAGCAGCACAATTCACAATAGCTAAACTGTGGAGCCAACCTAGATGCCCTTCAGTGGATGAATGGATAAAAAAAATGTGGCATATATACACAATGGAATTTTACTCAGCAATAAAAGAGAATAAAATCATGACATTGCAGGTAAATGAATGGAGTTGGAGAAGATAATGCTAAGTGAAGTTAGCCAATCCCCCCAAAACAAATGCCAAATGTTTTCTCTGCTATAAGGAGTCTGATTCCTAGTCGGGTAGGGATGGGGAGCATGGGAGGAATAGAAGAACTCTAGATAGGGCAGAGGGTGTGAGGGGAAGGGAGGGGCAGGGGGTTAGCAATGATGGTGGAATGTGATGGACATCATTATCCAAAATATATGTATGAAGACATGAATTGGTGTGAACACACGTTATGTACAGAGATATGAAAAACTGTGCTCTATATGTGTAATAAGAATTGTAATGCATTCTACTATTACATATTTAAAAAATAAAATCAATTAAAAAAGGATTATAGGTGGTTTCTCTAAATAAAATTTAAATTTCACATGCTCGTTTTTCCTAAAAAATTAATTCATGAATTCCTATTTCTTAAAATGACTCATTATTTAATGATTGGGACTTCAAATACTAGTATAGCAGAAACTACAGCTTTGTTTTTTAATTTTGAATGTTTTTTATTTCAATAAAAAATTAAATTTTCATGCATCTGGCTTATTCAGGAATGGTGTGGATATTTCCTCACAAATGCATACTCTTAGTCTTGACACATTTGTGTAGGATACCCAGTAACATAACTAACGTTTCAATCACCAAGTTAGTTAATTTTTTAAATGTAAATTAAAGTTCTTAAATAATTATTCAAAATTTATGACTGACAAGTTTATAAAATATTGATTAAAAATAAGGGTTACTACTTGATGCTTTACAATGATGAAGAAACACTATTTACAAAAATTAAATCCTTACCATAATCTGGATGAAAAATCTGCCGAATTAGAAGAAGGAACCACTCTTTAGTCAAGCCACCCATATCCAAACCAGCTTCCCCTACAAATGTAACTTTCAATTTCTTTTTCAAGTCCGCTCTTTTCCGGGTTAACTATTTGAAGAAATTATATAGTAGAGGAAAACAAAGGTCAGTGAAAAGGGAATTAACTTTTTAAATTCTGGGAATCATGTTAGGCAGTCTTCATCACAAAACCCCACCCATTCATCCAACAAATCTGCTCAACCCTGTGTAAGCTAGGTGTTGTTCTTTTTTTTGCAGAACAGAAAAATGAGTTAAGAGGTCAGGTGTTTTGCCCAAGGTTACTGCTTCCAAGTATCATAATATGTCTCCAAAATTTTAAGATGGCAGGCTACAATATACAATAACTCATTGTGTTTTAACATTCCTTTAACATTAAACCTTTAAAAGTCATGTAGCTAAATTAGTCATTATCTTCTAATAGCTACATGAAGGTCTGGCTGAAATATGCATGCAGGAAACTTTTATAATGTACACACAGGCAATCAATGTTTGTTTGAATCTAAATAGGCCCAATATTCCTTGAAAGGTCAGACCTGCAATTTCATAGATGAGTAATCTGAGGCCCGGAAAAGTTAAAATGACTTGCTAATACTGAATCAGCAGCAAAGATGGGTGGGTCTAGAATTCAGATCACATACTAAGAAACATGAATTACTAATTTAAGTGTTCCACATTGAACATTTTTCTAGAGAAGTAACAGGGAAATGTTAAAATAAGTACATAAAAAAATCAACATAAGGTTTATAGAGAACTGATTTTAGGTATAGTATCAAAATTTAAGGAAGCACCATCAGTAGAAATAAAAAAGTTTACCAAGATTTTAGTAATAAATAATACTGTAAAATTTACTTAAAGATTTAATCAATTAATACCATTTTGTAATAAATTATACCTCATCAAGCGAATCGCTAACCAGATGTGTCCGCCTTACTTTCATATTTAGAAATAACATATTCATATCAGGTCTCTGTCTTCGAGATACTTTATCCACCAGACTTTGCTAATTAAATAGGAAAGCAAACATTTTCACTTTTACTTAAAACTATAATTTCATTTAAAACATTTAAACACATTAGTCAAAATCACTTAATTCTTATCTATTCCACCTCTCAAACAATTCATGAAACCAGTTATACATATTTTGATTTGTGAAAATGCCTTATTATTACTTTATGTTGGAACAGTGATAATTAAAGCAGCCCCAAAATAGAGGACGAAAAACAATTTACCTCCTATAGTAAAGAATGTTACATTATATAGTTTCCATGTGTCTCATTTCTTAAATACCAAAGTTTTGTTTAATAAATATAAACATAAAATGGGAACATTTGAAACAATATATGCACTTCTGACTATACACCTGGATTTCTTAAACTTTTTCAGACATTAAATTTACTCTAAAAGCACAATTAGTCTACTTTTAAAAAGTAAGTGGTCAACATTATTAAGACCTTAACAATGTTTATAACCTTGTTCTAATAATTCTACTTCTGAGAATTCTAAAGATAAAAATATTTAATTTTTTTAAAAATATTTTTATTAGTTATTGATGGAACTTTATTTATTTGTTTTATATGTGGTGCTGAGAATCGAACCCATTGCCTCACATGTGCTATGCAAGTGCTCTACCACTGAGCCACAACCCCAGCCCCTAGAAAATATTTTATATCATTAGATGTTCAACACAGTATTATCCTTAAGAGTAAAACTTTAGAAATATCCTAAGTATATATCTACTTGATAGACTATAATAATGCAGGTACTAAAAAATAATGGTCATAACTATATAAACAGTACAAGGAAGGCATATCTGAATAAAGTAGTAAATAAAACTATGTGTATAATACTATTTCAACCTTGTTGATTTTTAAAGATAATATAGGGGAAAATATCAAAATATAATTTATTAAAATGTTAATAATACTATGCTTGGGTTATAGAGATATGGGTGATTTTAAAAATCCATTTTTAGGAGTTTTCAAAATATAAGCACTGAGTATATAAAAACCAACATATTAAAAATGTACAGAAAGCTATATAAATGTTACTTATCATATAAAATCTACATGCATATATATTTATCTACCTAAATAATCTTTATCAGACTACTTCATATTCTTTGGTAACAATGAAAATCAATTTTTGTGCAGATTAAAGATGAATATTTCAAATACTTTAAGTTCATATGGTAATTTACTTTAATAAAATTGTAATACCCTAACTCTATATGATTTGAGGTTACTTATGGTTTTGTAGATTACCATAACAAGACCAACTAATTTAGAATCTTTTCCATTGCTCCAATATCCAATCCTAAAGCCTTTTGCTTCTCTGGTTTCTCCCTTACCAAAGAGATCTACATTCCTGGGATAGCTGTGCTGTGGACCTTTTTCCAGGAAACTGTCTTCTATTCCTAGTCTAGCTACTTGGAAGCTATCACAATGAAAATACCTAATAAATAAATGTATTCTAGGATGGTAATAGCAGAAAACCCTAGTGGCTACTACTTAGGAATTTATATTTCCTAGAAAATGCTCCAAATGAAAGAAACCTAACAATGGTAGAATTCTAGATAATCTGAGTGATAAAGTTGTTTTTAGGGGAGCCCCTTTGCAACTGTAGACTGTATCATATAGGCTCTTGCTCATACTGACTACCTGGTAAGGCTATCCTTGTGTCAAAAATAGTTATCAGTCATTTAATTCCAAGTGGCATGGCAGTTTATAAGTTAATATGTTGGGAAATGTCTGTAACAGATAATGCCATCAGACTCTTCAGTCTCTACTCATTTGCTTTCATGCTCTGTGAAAGACAGTCTGTGACTATACCTGCCACTCTCCTTTTAAGAAGATAAAAAATCCACAAAATGATATTTAAGATCTTAAATGTGAGTGACATAAAAATGCTAGATATTTAGATAAACTTGTAGTTCTTTAGATTTTTCTTACAAATATAAAAATTAATAGCCCAAATTGAAAAAGCATTAAAAAGCCCATGACATTGTACAAATGCAAAATGAGTGATACAGATTAATCTTTGAGCCAGTATCTACCCAAGATCAAGTAACAATTCTGGTGCTAAATATACCTGTTTAAACTCAATCTTCAAGGGGGCAATGTGACTTTGGAACTCCTTTGGAAGGCACAGGCAATAAACTTTTTTCTAATAGACCCATACTTGTTATAAGATGACTTTGGGATATTACCAGTCACTGAAACCTTTTGTCCTCTTCTGTGATAGAAAAAAAATACTCACCTTCTGGGAATGAATTACTTAAGAATAAACAACTCGTTTATTTATAGTACTTTGAAATATTACAATTTATACCTTAGGATTTTTTTATATTCTTGGACAAGACAAAAAAATCATTTCTTTCTACTCTTCCTATTATAAGAAGACTATAGTCAAGCTTCCTTTTAATTTTTAAAGTTATGAGCAATCATGTTATGTAAGAAGCTTGAAATACACAAGCATATAAATGTATAGTCTAGAACTCTAATTAAAAATTCATTGTATCTGGTTTCTATTAGATAAAGTACATAACTTTACTGTGCTGTGCTAACCAAAGCAGTAGAGAGTGATAAGGACAGGCCCAGAGATAAACTTTATCCGGCTTTACAATTTGCCTAACGTCAGCCTGACTGTAATCCTAGCTTCTACAAGCATCCATGCATTCTGGTTTCCTAAAAACCAATAAAAAACCTTTTCGCCTATTTTGAGAATATTTCTCAGTTCTCCAAGATGTATGCTTCTTGTTATATTTACTAATTTTTTGGTGGTTTCTGATTTTCATAAAACCTTGAAAATGTTGCAATTTTTTTTTTTTTTTTTAGTAATTTTTTAAAGGATGCTCCTTTCCTCTCTGTATTTTTCACTTATGTTTTTCTGGTTACCTAGAGCAGGAGCTTTACAAGGTTCAACAAACTTCCTGTAATTTGGATCTGTGAGAACATTTAATCTTCTGTTAAATTTAAAATATAATGAGAAGTTGATTTGATGAGGGGTGTCTTGTCTCCCATGTGAACAGGTTTAAGCACTTTTGGAGGGACTAGGATATGAATTTTATTTTTAACATTTCCTGATTACACTAGAACAATTCACAAAACATTTGACTTATTTATTAAATTATTTACTGTATTGATTATAGTCAGCATAAATATTTTTTTATATCTGGCTTACCCTTGCGATGCTTATCATCTGTTGTTCTGAGTCTCTCTGAATAATGATTTTTTTTGCAGCTATAGAAATAACGAATGGGTACTGACAGAAGGAAAACCTGCTCAACAAGTGAAAACAGAAAAAGCAAAATGGTGTATTTTTAGCAAAATTACACTAAGGGAATCTAGGTACCCCTTCTAACAATATAAAACATTACTTTTGTATTGTGTTTTACCATTTACGAAATGATTTTATGTGCACCTTTTAATTCCCACAGCCCTGTGAAGAATGTATCATTACTAGATGTACAGTGCCTTCATTCTCTAAAGGAAGCTACATCTAATTTTCTGAAATGTGTGCTAATCATGTACATTGTTTATACAAATAACTTCAGTTTACATAGTCACCTATATATGATAATCTGAAAAACACAGCCAACACCAGAACCAGGAGGCCGAAGTGTTAATAAAGAAAGCTTAGGACAGAGACTCATATGTTCAAGTTAAGATAAGAATCCATTATTATAAGAAATATAGCAATAACCATAGTATGCAAAAGCAAAGTAATAAATTTAAGACAAAATAAAAATTAGGAAAAGGAGTATGTTGCTAGTGGTACTGTATTTAATAGTGTAGTGATATGAAGTGGTACTTAATTGTAAAGGCATAACATTATCATCAAAATTTATGAAAATAATGTCTCTCCTGGGTCAGAGTCCTTATGTACAAAAGCCACAGACTACACAGATAGAAATGCATTTAGAAAAAAATGGGTATGGCAGCAATGATACTTTAGGATTTAGACTCCTATCAGAAGTGACTGCAATAAATCTATCAGTTATAGTTGGAAACCACCTGAGCAGAGTCAGGTACCATCTGAGCAGAGTCAGGTAGAGCATCATGATGTAATGAAGACATTATGAAGAAAAAGGAGATAGGCCTCATGTGAACTGAAAATGAGATAGCTTTCACGCTGGGACAAAGCTGTTAATACACAGGAGGAATGTTCAGAGGTAGTGCATTGTAATTTTGAATCACTAATGCCAACCAAAAATTTGGAAACAAAAGAAAATGCAATGAACTTAGCAGGATACGTGTTGATTTTATTATGTACTTTAAAATACTACTTCTTAACCTTTCCCTTGAAAAAAGATACCATGTGTATGAAACACCCAGAGAAACAGATGAGACTGCTCATGGTCAGAAGCAATTTGCCCTACCTAAGATTCTAGGTCCCTCTTCTCATGTTCAGGGTGTCACCAAGGGCTGATGGATCCTATATAATTCATTCTCAATACACTGTGCTGTGGAAGCTTTGTATTAAAGATGTCACTGAAACATGCACAACTGTGGGAGTTGTTTTATGGTTATGATTGTATTAAAATGGGAGGGAAAAGTGTCTTTGCAAAATAAACTTTGCCAAGAAAACATCCATCAGACTGATCAGAATTCTCTAAACAATTTTTGTTCAGTCTTTGAGTGTTCAGATGTGGACTCAGGCATCTCTGGAAGGCCATTCTGTGTTTTAGGTCAATTCTGATAGCTTGGAGGGCCCTGGAAAATTTAACCAATTTGTGAACCAATATGGGGTTTTGAGTTTATTTATATCTAAACCATATCTCTTACTCAGTAACTTTAAAATATGACAACCTCCTGGATATCTCATGGTTTGGGAATGTTTAGAATAGTCTTGTTGGTTTAATCCAAACTAGAACTATGAAGAGAAAGTGTAGTATATTAAAAAATTTGGTCAAGTATTCCGAAAATCTACTACTGTAAGTAATTTGTGGTGAAGCCCTTTCTCTGTAATATCTATTTATTTTGTACTGTTTCTAGTGGATAGTCACTTTTCCTACAGAACGAAGGAGAAAAGGAGTGAATGTGTATGTTTATGTGTACATCTTTATGGGATCAATGTATTAGATTAGGCACTGGCAAACCATGTTCCCCAGGACAAATATGGCCTACCATCTGTTTTTGTAAACAAAGCTATATGGAATACAAATGTACTCATTCATTTATATAATCATCTAAGGCTGTTTTTGTGCTAAAATAACAAAACAATCTGTATAGCTCACAGAACTGAAGATATTTACCATTTAGTCCTTTACAGAAAAAATTTATTGATCTCTTTGCTAGTTGACAGCATATAAAACAATAAGATATAAGAAACTTTTTACTAGGACAGAACCTTTCCCTTCTTGAAAAGATGCTATCAACCAAACTAAAACCAAATCAACATATATATAAAATCAAAATATAGCAGAAAAAGAAAATGTTTTAACAAATACAATGATATTTCAAGTCTGGGTATCTAAATTATAGAGGTTAAGGTATGGTGTGTATATATCTATAACTATATACCTATATATAGATATAGATATTTTATTTATACAAACCTAAAATCCAATCATTATTTTGAATAGTATTTCATTTAGGTGAATAATTAAATGGTACCTGTGAGAGTTTCCAAAGCTCTGCCAAGTATGATATTCTTCCATGAGATCAATGTGATCCAATGTAGAATTATAGAAATCAGTATAAGGAATAAGGGGAAGGTCAACCAAATTGTTTGCAGTATCTGTAAAGATAAATTCTAACATAATGATCTTTTCCAACATGCACATAATTTCCTTTTAATAATAAAAACACCATTTTAATGTCCAGTGGCTTTCCTTGACCTAAAGGCTGCTGTTTTAAACAACTAAAGTTCCAAATGAAAAAGATAATTTTAACATTGTGGTCAAAGTACAGCTAACCATTTCTGACTTTAAAAAAAACTTGCTATGTGGATCATAAAAGTACTAAGAAGAGCATGCAGATGGCCATTTATTCATATATTGCTGTATTAGTGAATTCTTCCTAAGGGTCCTCAGTAACTAAAGTTCATGTTTTCTTGGGAATCACACTTAGCAGATCATTTATATGCAATTAACTATACACACTTAATACCATAATATAGACTATTGCTCAGTAAAAGGTATAAAGCTTTTTTCATGCTTGTAAATTAGTTGTGAAATCCATTATCAAAACAAAATATATTTTTTCCTTCAAAGGAATGGTTTAAAATTTAATGTTGATTCTACAGTACTTTGAGATCCTTAAGAATGTCCCTGAGATTTAACAAAAGCAAAGAAAATGATAGAATAATAAAAACGTACTAAGTAAAGCCAACACTTTAGATGCTGATGGAATCCACCAGGAACATTTTGCTATAGGGGGAAATTCTTCAGGCTTTGCAGGAAACAGGCGTAAAGAAATAAATTGCAGCAATCTCTCTACCAATTGTTTGAACCTCTTCTGGGATAATCTGGTAAAGATTTTGAAATAATTCTAATCAAAATTCACATTTTAAATTTTGGCAATATATTTATATCAAACTATATCCTACACACATAAAATTTTAGACTAGTCTCTCAAATTCTATCTCTTAAGTTGCCAAATATTTGAAAAGATAAAATCTTATCTTGAATACTGTTTCTTAATTAAGAAATAAATACCAAAATTATTATAAGGTTAATAATTAAATTTTTAAGACTTTGAATATTTGCTCAATCTTCATTATTCACAGACTTTATACATGCAAATTTGCCTACTTGCTAATATTTAATTGCAATCCCAAAATAAATACTTGTGCTTTGTGAACATGCAAGAAATGGTGAAAATTTTGAGTTGACATGCACATTCCCAGTTGAGGTCATATAAAATTATGCTCTGCTTTCTTATTTTAGCTCTCAGAGTGTAAACAAATGTCCTCTACATGTTTTTCATATTTTTGTGTGTTTTTGGTGAGGATGCTATTTCAAATGGCCCTTAAGCATAATGACGAATTGCTATCCAGTGTTCCTATGAACAAGGAGGATGTAATGTGCCTTATGGAGAAAATATGTATTAGACAAGTTTCAAACTGGCACAATCATACTGCTGGCCATGAGTTCAATGTTAATGAATCAACAACTTAAGTGTCTTTAAAGTAGAACATTCATAAAGCAAAGTTGTGCACTGACTGATTGACAAAAATACAATTAGAAAGTCCCAGGAACCTAACCCTGTATTTTCCTAAGAAGCATTGTCTCAGTCAGTATTTTTTAATTCAGTGTTTACGATGACTTTGTAGAATATTGTGAATAATAACTGACTAAATTTAAGTTCAGTTTGGAAATATTTTGCCTTTTAAGCTTTGACCTACCATAGAGAAAAGTCTTTGTTAATATTGATACAGATCTGTGAAAAAAGAGTATTGTGCTTTTACAACTTGATATTGATGGCTAACCTATACATCAATAATGATGTTTTTAGCTGAGGAGGAAGCACCATTTAAATAATGATGAAATTTGTTATAAATCAATCATATAGGAAATAAAAAGAACATACATTAAAATGTAAGATCTGAGCAAAACCAGTCACCATCTTTGAGATACATGAAAAACCAATGATATGAATGTGCTATATAAAAATTGAAAACAGTGGATGGAAATTCTCAACAGCTTACACAAGCAAAATGGTTAGTTACACTAAAAACACTTATGCTTATCACTTTTGTAGTACTATATATATTTTTATAATTGACTTTTTAGCATTATTAATTATAAAAGCATAATTTCTAAAGACCTAAAGCCATTCAAATATATTTTATTACAAAAGTATTACTATCAAATTTAAAACTGTGAGATTACAAAAGTTCTTAATATTATAGAATGATTTACTTTTTAAACCAGTGAACTAGGAAATGATGGTCAGCTTCCACTAAGGTAGCTGTCTGTCGTAGCAAGTGAGCATAGATGACATACGTAGATGTGTTATTAAATTGAGGATTCTGAAAAAGATAAGTCAAAGGAAACACACTAAATGAGTTAAGTGAAAAATTCAGGAAACTAAATTTGAGATTATAAAATAGTTTAAAACAATAATATATCTGTTATTTAGTTATAAATAGAGATTGATTTAGGCTGTGATACAGTGAAAACAGCATGAACTGTGGAGTTAAGACAGATCCAAGTCTGAGGCCAATTCTACTACTTACTAACAGTTTACCTTTAGACATATTCCTTAAACTTTGTCAATTTCCTCATCTGTAAAATGGGAATAATTGAATCTATCTTAAGAGTTGTTGTATTTAAAAAGGAAAGTGTATATAAAACATCTAGCTCAATGCCTTCATAAAAGCTGGCAATCACTATTACCCAATTAAACAAAATATTCAGCCTTTCTTTGATTTTAAAAATGCTAAAAAAAGTGAAAAGCTAGTTGGGAAATTTTTGCCACTGTGAGAGTCAGCTGCATATCTCACAAAGAATAAGAGGAGAATCTCATAATTGCATCTAACAACTTTTAAATGTGAAAGGGAGACTGAAGGAGTGCTAAGCAAAACCTCCACTTATGTCTTCAAAATGTAAAGCTTTACCACAATGCACATTTCATCATTTCATGTGAAAAGTGAACATAATGGAAAAATGAATTGAAATTGTGAAAAACAAGAAAGTATCATGTGTTTTTCAAAACCGATTTACTGGCAGGACAATTCAAAATTAGGGAATGACCCTACTTGATAACTTCATGTAGTGATGGCTCCAGAGAAGAACATCATGAACAGAGCTTATTGCGCTCTCTTCTTAACTACCTCTTAGCCATTTTTTCTCCCTTTCCACTTTCTCTTTTTTGTTCTGTCTCCCTTTCTCTTTTTTGCCTTTTATTGGGCATAATATTGATTTTATAGCATTGCATTATTGAAATAAGCACTATATCTTATTTAATGTATTTTTACCTTTAAACAAATTAATATACATGAACAATTTTTATGAACTGTAAAGAATAAAATGAGTGTAGTATGCTGCTAAGATAACATCTTAGAGCTCATTAAAGTTAATTGGAAGAAAGATGATTTGAAAGGAGAAGGAAGAAGCACTGCCATTGTACTGCCTGAATACTATGGCAGCTAAGGCAAGAACTTTATTAAAATTTTAATACTCCATAATTTAGCTTCTGAATGTTTGTTTGTTACAGCATTGATTACAAGTCATTATAACTCTAAAAAGTATCAATAACATTGACCAAAATGATACTTACCATTTGATATAATTTCACTTTCATATGTACATATTGAGATCTGAATTAGAAAATTTTCACTAAATTCCTTCTCTCTTACCTGTAAAAGGATGAAATATGCTCTAAGATCATCTTTTGTTCGTGGGCTGAAACAGAAACAAGCATAATTGATTATAATGAATGTTTTAATCTCATGGTATCTAACTAAAAGTGACCAATAAATATTCCTGTAAGAATTGAGAAAACCAAAAAACAAAACAAAACAAAAACCTTAAGTGAACATAACATTATTATTACTGACAGGAACATATCTCTAATATGCTGGAATATAAATTACTCTATGTCTATCCTAGGCTGGTTCTGAAGATATCTAAAGACTGAGTTAACTAAGACAGCAATAATATTTTGCAAGATAAAAAATCATGACTATCTCTGGAAATAGTTAAGTATCTAATAATAATCTTCAATTTTACATTCTTGTGTTTTTGTTTTAATAAGGGATAATCTTTATTTAATAGTTATTCATTAAAGAATATATGTCTGTGTTTATAGGTTCATTCCTTAAGTGACAGAAATGTCTGCAAATCAAATCACACTCTGAATGCACCTAGAATATTTTAATCAAAAGAATCGTATTTTGGATATCTCTGAAAAGAGAGTAATTTAAATTGTTTTTCCATGTTAATCTGAATTTTCACAGCATCAGAATTCACTGACAACTTTTGTTATTCTGTAAGCTAGTGTTACTCAATTGCTCAAGACATATTTGATACTCACACAGATAACCAGAAGTAACTTTCTGAATTAAATATATTTAACCTATATGACAACCAGATGCAATTCAAGATCCTTCATGGGATCCTGGATGAAAAAACTCAGATACTAAAGCATTTGTTATTCTCAAGGTTGATGAGTGCTTCTTTCTCATCCACTCAATCAATTTCTAATCTATCACCTTTAATTCCAAGTCCTTGCCTGGTCTACCTAGGACTTTATATGTCTGGCAATGTCATTCATACCCACACGAATTATCAGGCACATACAACAAGTAGTATGAGTAGGTTTGATTCCTTACAATGTTTTTGATATTTTTATTAAAATACTCAAAATAGCTGGCTCCCAGTTTAGCCTTATCTTTTCAGTCCTAAGATAGTTAACTGAGAAGTAACAAAAATTTCTTCTTTCTGAGGCCAGCAACTGATTTTCTCAAGTTTTCTCTGGCTATCAGGAAGCCCAAGGTTAAATATAATGTGCATATTATTTCACTTAGGTTACTGAGTAGTACCCGTCCATTGTTTGCAAACTAAATATATCTGTACACAAAATTTTTATATGCAATTTTAAAAGAATCACAGATTTTCTTCATTCCTGTCTATATACAGATCCTCCTGAGACTTCATATATCTTATGTCAGTTTTGTTGAAAATGGCTTTTAATTCCTTTCTCATCCATGTTATAATTATAACTCAAAAGTATTTCCTGAGAGTGAAATACATTCACATAAACTAAAGATATATAAGATGTGTAAATTAATCATCTATTCTTATTAAATATTAGTTATAATTACCCTTTCCATTCTCGTAATAGGCTGTTAATGATTCCCTTTAATACTGTCTTCTGAATATCTTGAGGCTGTAGGCAAAAGAAAATTATAAGGCACAGTAATTAGTAATAGCTATTTAGGTGACTTTTATATGTTAATTTTATTTACAGATATGTTGCAATAACTAAATTCAGAATTGATGACTAAGGACGAAAAGGTAGACTCATTTTGCATGTAAAAATTCTAGGGAGCACCAATGACATAAAATTACAATGAGATGTATAATGTATATACATTTGATGTATAATGTAAATCTGCACAAATATATATGGTGGTCCTTTGATGATCAATAATACGTATGTAGAAATATTGTTCTACATCACTGAAAAACAATTTCACTTTCCCTGACTTTTAACCTTAAAATCATGAACACAAGCCCAACAGTAGTGAGTCTGCCAATTTAAAATGATTGTATATATTTCAAATATATTTAGTCCTAACCAGTTACAATTAATAGTTAAACTCACAAATTCATTAAGTGCAACCAAATTATGTTTAATTAAAAATGAAAGCTAATTTTTTTATTATTGATTTCTTACAATATAATTGTAAAAAGTATAACATTTCTTTATAATTTAGTAGTTGAAATAATTTTTAAAAATCTTTATTTACAAGCCTCTTAAATAAGAATGAAAATGAAATACATCTAGATGGTACTTCAGTTTATAATAAATAATAAAATAAAAAATTAACTAAAAGATTCAAATAATCAGAAAAAATTTTATTTGTGTGTTAGAGTCTGTAAACAAGTCAGGATGGCTCCTGGCATTTTGCCAGAGAAATGTTAGAGTCTGTAAACAAGTCTGGATGGCGCCTGGCAAAATGCCAGAGGGAGTGGTTTGAGAAGTAACAAAAGCGAGCCATTAAGTGTGGAGATTCCTGATTGGTTGACTGCTGTATCTAGTTTATGTTAATTAGATAGGCTGTGTGGAATGTGTAAATACTGCTCCTGCCCTGCAATAAACTGCTCCCTCTCCTGCTGTATCAACGTACACAAGTTGTTCGTCACCCCCCCCCCCCCCCCCCCCCCCCCCCCCCGTTATTCTGCTGCAGTCGGACTGCGGCAGATGGTGGCCCTTTATGGGGAGTCCCGGGACACTCGGGGGTAAGTGACGAAAAAAAAAAAAAAGCTGCCCGTCCATAGATAGGACGGGAGCAATCTGCTCGTCCCTAGGCAGATAGGGCGAGAGGAAAAATGGCCATTTCAAGAAAATGGAAAAGATTGATACAGTATGTTTGTGTCTTGTTTTGTCTCAGTGTATTGTATTGTCTTTGTGATGAAAATATGGAAGGGGTGAGAAGTAAATTACTAAGGGAAGAAGGCACCCCAGTGGAACCAAGAATAGTTAGGGCATGTGTTGATAAGAGCCCAGGAACTCTAGTCAGAAAGAAAAAGAAAGTTCAGAAGAAGAAGGATTATCAGGAAAAAAGTTGCAGCAAAAGGCTATTACTAAATACTTTTCGTTACCAGAGGGTGCGTGAAGCGGAGAGGCGGCTGCCAAGTGTGCAAGCCGGTCACAGCGCAGCAAGGATTTTCCAAGAGGCGGCGGCGACTGGCCCTTCCCCATCCACTGCCACGAGCCCAAATCTAGACCTGACCTGGAGGCACAGTCTTGCAGGCTCTTGCTCCCTGTGCCCAGTAGCAGTTTGAGTCCGGGACAGTCCCCAGGGCCATCTGGGGCTGCCCAGGCACTACAGCCAGCAGAAGACGCTACTGGTGTCCCTGATGTTTGGTCATTTTCAATGCCAATAACTAAGCTACAATGGTTCTCCCACACCTGAAAGCTAATGAGTAATGAGCACTATTAAGGCTTATTTCAAATGTAAAAAAAAGAAACCTTGAGATAATGTACTAAATTGTTCAGAAGGTTGTTTTCTTAGTGGAATACTACAGGATTTTCTTTAGCCATCCAGAGTTCCTGCCTTCGTCCCAGTGCCGGTGAAGAGGAAGGTGGAAGAATTTCCAGTGTTGCTGAGAACCGGACGAGACTTCGGATCAAGCTAGCTGCCAGCAGAACTTACCTGGACTGTGATTTACCTGGACTGTGTTAGATGTTAGAGTTATAAATGTTAGAGTCTATAAACAAGTCTGGATGGTGCCTGGCAAAATGCCAGAGGGAGTGGTTTGTGAAGTAACATCAGGGAGCCATTAAGTGTGGAGATTCCTTATTGGTTGACTGATGTATCTAGTTTATGCTAATTAGATAAGCTGTGTGGAATGGATAACTACTGCTCCTGTCCTGCAATAAACAGCTCCTACTCCTGCTGTATCAGTCTACACAACTTGTTCGTCACCCCCCGGTTATTTTGCTGCAGCCGAACTGCGGCATTTGTGAGCTATGTTATTATATGAAAAAGGCAAAAAAGCACCCATGAGCACTTATTATGGATTTCTTTAAAAACCATGACTTCTAAGACACATTTGTCAACATTCACCTGGTCTCTTACTCTGTGTGTATTTGTGTGTTTAAAGTATCATTCCTTTCTTTTCCTCTGCTAACAGTGATATTTCATACCCACAAGGCAAACACTACTCCTGCTCAACCACTTATTTAGTGTCTGCCTGAGCAATAGAAGGTTGTAGAATAAAGATCAAACAAATGTCTTGATTGCACAAAGTTTATGATCATGAATCTAAAAAAGACACTCAATACTACTAACATTCATACATTTCCCTAGTTCATTTACCTCCCTATTCACCAAGAGAACTATATTTCAAACCTGCTACTGAGTGTGTGTGTGTGTGTGTGTATTTGTATGTTTTTGTGTTTGTTTGTTTTTGATCTTTCAAGATGCTGACATTTTAAGAGTTTATGTCATTTGTTTTGCTGACTATCTCCAAACTTGGGATTTTTCTGTTATTTTTAGCATGAGTACATTTTTGGCAAGAAGACTTATAAATGTTGCATCTAAGTGTATCACATAGGGAAGCACTTGATGCCAATTGCCAGTTTGGTGATTTAATTAACCGGTTAAGATAACAACTGAATAAATTCTTACTAAAATGGTTGCAAATCTTAATTTTTAAACTTTATTATTATTTTTACATTTATTAGTTCACATTTCTTTCCTTTATTCTACATTTATCTATCTATATCATCTATCTATCATTTATTATCAGTATAGACTCAAAGATTCTTATTTCACCCAGTGGTTTAATTCATTATTATAATTTTAATAGCAAATTGTCTCAGATTTGGCCTTTGGGGCAAGCTGGCTCTGTGACATGCTCACATCATTTTCTTTATTTGTAACAGAATTTTTTTTTAGAGCAGTCTTAGGTTTACAGAAAAGTTGTGCAGAAAGTAGTTATCATACATACCCTCCCCAATCCTTTACATAGTTTTCCTTAGTATTGTGCATTAGTGTGGAACATTTGTAATAATTAATGAACCAATATTTAATACATTATTATTAACTAAGATCAATAGTTTACATGTGGGTTCACTTTTTGTAGGGATTATTCTATAGATTTTGACAAATGCCTAATGTCATGTTATCTGTCATTGTAGTACCATTTAGAATAGTTTTACCACTCATCCCTCCTTCCTCTTTCTGCATCAAACTCCTGTCTCTTCCATTGGAATAATTTAGTGTGTAGTCTTTTAAGACCAGCTTATTGCACTTAGCAATATGTATTTAAGGTTTCCACATGTCTTTTTGCAGTTTGGTGGCTTATTTTTTATACTGTTGAACAGTATTTCATAATATAAATGTACCACAATGTGCTTATCCACTTACCCACCTGACATTTTGGTTGCTTCTAAATTTGACAATTATGAATAAAGCTGCTATGAACATTTGCATGTAGTTTTTTTTGGTGAACATAAGTTCTCAACTCTAAATACCTAGAAGCACAACTGCTGGATCATATGGTAAGCTTATGTTTACCTTTGTAAAAAAAAATACAAACATTATTAAAATTAGTGGGATATAGCAGAAGGAAAGGTATAGACTGGACATATTAGAAGAAAAGTAAGATCTAAAATTAAAAGGAACAAAATAAATTCAAAGTAAATAGAAGAAAAGACATAATAAAAGCAGAAATCAATCAAATTGAAAATGGAACTATAAGGGAAAATCAAAATTCAAAATGCAGCAAAATCAAATATTTAGATGTTTATTTAAAAAGACTTCAGTAATAGGGAATGAAGGGAAGGGAGGGGGTATAGGCAAAGAAAAGACAGTAGAATGAATCTGACACAATTCTCCATGTACATATATGAAAACAACATAGTGAATTCCACTATCATGTACATCCATAAGAATGGGACTCTTAACTAGAACAAGATATATTCTATTTTTGTATAATTGTGTCAAAAATGGATTTTGCTGTCATACATAACTAAAAAGAACCAATAAATTAAAAAACAAACAAAAAATTTAGATTCCCCTGCCCCCCCCCCCCAAAAAAAAATGCCTCAGTGAAATTGATAAACTTCTGGCCAAACAAATCAAGAAAGGAAGAGAGAACACCTTAATTACTTTTAACTGAAATGAAAAAAAGGATCATTATTTCTGATCACAAGAACTTTAAAAGGATAATAAAAGACTATTATGAGTAAGTCCATGCCTATAAATTTGAAAACCTAGATGTGTTCTTGAATGACACATAAACCAAAATTCACACCAGGAGAAACCAACCATCTGAATAGGCCTGTACCTAGTAGGCCTAACAGAATGAATAATTGACAAACTTCAAAAACAGAAAGCACCAGGCCCATATGGTTTTATTGGTAAATTCTATCAAACATTTAAGGATGAGATGATATCAATTCTTCACAATTTCTCCCCGAAAATAGCAGCAGAGAGAATACTTCCAGTAATACTCTAATACTTACATCAGAGAAAGATATCACAAAAAAGAAAAATTATGGACCATCTCTCATGAACATAGATGCAAAACACTTTGCAAAATATTAGCAAATTAAATCAAAACTGTATAAAAAGAAGAATTATTCACCACTACCACGCGGTATTTATTCCAGGGATGCAGGGCAGGTTTAAAACTTAAGAATCAATTTATTTA